ATAATAGCCTCTAAGGCATCTAAGGCCATTGGCTGCAATAATTTTACAGGTTTACATTATATTTTCTTAAAAAACATTGATACTAGTGTAGTAGTTGCAAATGATTTATTAAATTAGTCTTAATTATAATAATGACATTGTGATATTTATATTGTCTGGATGGAGGGCTTCAGAGAGGACGTCTGGTACTCATAATATTATTGTAGTAGTAAAATGGGAATGATTTTCGATAATTTTGTTTATCCTTCATTATGGAATAAAGTTCTAAGTTATATTTCAGGAAATCCTCATAGTTCTTACTTCTTTAATATGTTAATAGAATTAGACAAATATTACAAATAAATTATAAGTCGACCATCTCGTGTATTTATATATAGTTAGGAAATGTATTTACTCAAATATTTTATAAATAATCTTAAAAAAGGTCCCTGAAAATAGTGATTACTGTAACTACTAAACCTCCAAAATATTATTAGAAACTAAGTACTCCATTTTTTTTTTCGAGATTTAATGTTCTTCCAATACATATTTAAATTTATACATGTATATATTATTTATTCCTAATCGTAGATTCAATTAAAATATATTGGTGAACTATTAATTTTTATAAATTATTTTTTTTTAGTACATTAATAAGAGATAACTAACTATAATTCTATATGATTAATAAGATAACTATTTTTGTGATAATCTTGGTACATATTTTGTTTACATATTTATGTTAGTACTAATTATACATTAAAAAACAAAAATAAAAATGTCTATACTTACATTATCATAAACCTATATCTTCAACTATTAAAGTATATTAGATAACATTTTATTTTAAACTTTAAATACACAAACTGTAATTACCTGCAAGTACAATAAAAGGATGAACAGAGTGAAATTGTGCATCGAACAGCTTGGTGAAAGAAACTACCCATGGCCATTGGTGACACTTCCAATTTTCTTCTTATCCATGTTTATTAATCAAATAATGTTGATTTAACAAGTCTCTACACCATTCTTTCAAATTTTTACTTCAGGCGTCTTAGAGGGTATTAAAAACTAGATACTGTTAATTTGATATACACTTAGATGTCAAGTTGAGACGTTAAGTTTCTAACGGTCAATAAAATATGTACTTTGAGAATGATTATTAAGAATTTTTGCAATATCACATTAAATTATTTAATACAACTAGATATCAATATTATTGAATATAATTCTATTTAATAAATATTAGTTATTAGTTTATTACCTAGTTATTAATCACAATATATCTGCAGTCATTTTTTGTATTAAACTTTATACAATATGTAGGTACGTTCATAAGGGATAACCTTTATGACAGTTATTGGTTATAACTAATTGTGTAATAATTTATGTCTTCAGCTCTCAAATATACATTTTGATCACATACTTAGGATTGATAGTTAATACATCATATAATTATAGGTATTGGGCGTACAGCTGCACACGTATAAAATACTGCTATAGTATTACAATTTAAAATGAAGCTAGCTCTGATTGTTTGAACAATAATAGGTTGGATAGATAAAATAATTAAAATTTCGTCTCGTGAACGGTAATAAAAATAAAAAAAACCACCGAGCGACTAATTTACAACTAGCTGAAATTTCTTAAAAATAAAATGGATTAAATTGCGAACATCGTGGTTTATTATAAACGCATAACCTTGACAATTATAATTATTATTCCGTAGTAATAGGTAGGTAGGTAGTTGGTTAATCTGCTGTATCAATGTACTTTTCAAGCCAAGTTCATTGTTATTTTTTTTTTTATTGTTATTATTATAAACTCGCGATTATAAATTAAGTGACAAACTTCATTTAAACGTTGATCATAGTTTTAGTATAAGTATAAGTTAAATTGAACATATTAATAGGAAATACAACATTGGTTTTAATTCATTTTATATTTCGATGATAACAATAACACAGAACACTACCTACGTTTAACGCCATGGTTGACTTTTTAAAATTTTTGCGGGAAATGACATGGCACGAAGGTTGACGTGGCTAATTTTTTCAAGGTTAATTTCAAGTTCTTAACACGAAAATGTAATATAATAATAATATAATGAACACTTATAATTGTAAATTGTCTGTATAAATTATTATTGAACAAAAAACAAGTTATTTATTAGGTATGTTTATTGTTCTTGAAATTAAAACTACACAATGGCAAAGTCTGTTCACAACGTTCATTCGTATATTATTGTTGGCATTAAGGACTTTTAGCGTGACTTGGTTGACACAAGTAAAAAATGCAAGGAAAAACATATAATATATTTAACTCCTATCATTTCACAAACGCTTAACAGAGTCAATGAGCCTTTACAACACATAAACATGTTATGCAGCATAAAACAAATCGTTGGTAACAAGTTGACGAATTACTTTAAATTATTTTCGAACTTTTAGAGAGCCAAAAGCACAACCGTACTCGATACAGTATCAAGAATTCAGATAGGTGTTGTATTGTATTATATTCATCATTTTTTTATTAATAATTTATCTATTCGACTTAATTTGTTCATTGATGTTTTTTTTTTAGTTTAATTATTGCATTACAATAAAAATACTATGCTGTAGGTATTAGTATTATAATTAATATATAATTAGTACTATAATACATTATAGTATTTATGTTTTATAACATGTAATAGGTTTTCAATTAAAGCATATGAAATGCAAATATTGATATTAAAAATTTGCAATTAGGTCTGATATTTCCATCCAAATGATCTTCAAGGTTGGCAATAAACTAAACCAAGACATTTCGATTATGTCAGGTTTAAAAGCAATTTGCTTACTTAGTTAATCGGTTTTTTCAACTATGCGCGCCTAACTATTTAATATTATATACAACTCTGTTTTATAATAATATATGTGTACAAACTAAACAACCTAATTAGAATACTTCGTTTTAAATTAATACCGTATACCTACATAGCCAGCTATACCATAAAATCATGAATTTATCAACAGTGTTGAATTTAATATTATTCCGACCGGAGGCGTACAGACTATATTCTGATTGTCTGATATAAAATATTATGAAAATATTCGCCTATATTCGCGATGCAACTACCACATAGCATGAATAACTCTGCAGTATCCTGCTTCCATATAGATCCCAAGACTCCAAAATGTATATTTTATCTTTTACTTTGTGTGAGCTGATGTCTAAAACGATGATAATACATACTACGGCTTGAATTGGTGTCTCCAGAAGAGGTAGGTGTGCGGGGTGAGTGGGCGGATGGGTGTATGCGAGTAACCTGTTATTTAAAAAAAAAAATATTAAGCAGACATCTGCAGCTTGCAAATGCAATTTAGTGTTCTGGAACGAGCATTTTTAATACAACTGTATTGTCATGTCGCTCTACAATTGCATTTCTAATCATTTGAAATGCGGCTAGACGTGCTCTCTCGATACACTGTTATTGTATCATTGAGTAATTATACCACTATATAGAGATATATTATAATTGTATATTATCATAATTCAACAAACACTGGCCATTGCCCATTAGTGTACAATATTTTATTAAATTTGGTCGTGCGCATCGCATATTAGATTAATTGTTTTCTAATGTTTATATAAAGCTATCACTCGCTGTGTCCTTTATATATTATTATTATACAATACAGGCTATTATAGCCGTACGATGGCAGTGTGTATCGTGATCAGTGCACATTATTACTGTGTTTGTTATTGTTATAAACTGTTTATGTATAATAGTTCTTAAACGCTTAGATACTGCAGGCGTTGAGTAGGTATTTATACATACACATATACACGCGCGGGCACAAAACTTACACTCGACGTTTATTCTATACAGAACGACACGCGTTGTATATAGAATATTACTAATAATTAATAATCAGTTGTTTAAACAATAATACTATGATATGGATCCACTGACCGCCGCCCCTTAAATTACATACGCGTGTTTAATAACTGCTTGAAGTACCTACATATTGTTTTTGGGCGGCGGCATAATTGATAAACTAATCATCTTAATCGATAATTTTTATTTTATCAAACAAACCATAATATTTATTGACCGGGTTGAAAATGTTTAATGTACTTTATGCGTTTAAATCACCGCATTTTTGTGTAGGTAGATGTGTAATCCTTATTTGAAATTGTTCACAAAATGAAATTACGAAGCAACAATATAATTAAAAAAACAGTTTAAAATAACGAAAAAACTTGTAGAAAAGAAATGTTTAAAAATAGTTTTGTGTGGATATATTGTACATAACCCAGTGCGATATTATTGTCATATTATTAGGGGAAGTAATGCTAACTAGGGGAAGTAATGCTAACGCGGTCCCCCCTCTGGTTCTTGATACCACAAAAAAAAAAAAATTATTGTCATATCAGCATATCGCTACTCGGTAGCGGGTACACACATTATACGTAAAACGCAACAACACGATGTAGATGATAACAAATAATAATTATTATTGGAGCTCCAAAAGTAAGCATTTTATGAGCGAATGTCATAATATAATGTACATGGAGGTAAAATATTACTCACGTTAGTGGCTGACACTTGTTATGAACGCCACCGCATATGCCTGTGGTGTTGTGTTATATTTTATATTGCGTCTCTGGTTGTATCCGTAGACGTCAATTTGTTGAAAACCGTTCTCTGTGTAGCGGGTGATAGTCAAATGTTGTTTAATAGATTATTAATAAAAAGAACACACGTTTTAGATTTAAATGAGAATATTATACTTTATTAGTTTTAAGAAATATAATTTATACTACAAGCACACTACTTAACTCGAATGAGTCGGGTTCAAGACTAAATTGCCGACAGGACCGATACTATAGTCTTGTCGCGCATAAGCACATATCTGCGATAAGACGCCTACATACAGGCGTTATTATATTATGTAAAACAAGCGTCTCTATAGTCTCTATAGTGGTGGGCATATAACACCCCCCGGGTTAGACGGAAGATCATTATCCTATTTTTAAACAATTATTTTGGGTAATGATTTTCCTTTTCTTATTTTAAGTTCTACTTTATTTTGTTCATTTGGTTCCGTCGAACTCGGTTGGTTTACATTGACATTTTTAATTTTCTTAAAATTAAATATTTTTCTTATTATGATAATTAACAGAATAATTATTAATAAACAACATAGTATTATTAAACCAATAATATAATAATTTATATAAATTGAAGATTGTTTATAATCTAAATTATCTTTTGGGATAGTGACTTCATTATCATCTTTATATTTTGAAAATACAATTTCTGGGGATACGAATTCTTTTATTGTGTTAACATTATGTACATATTTAGTTAAATTCATAGTTGGTATGAAGTCTGATTTTAATTCTGAATAAATTGTTCTAAACGGAATCATGCGATAACCTCCTGAAATTGCAGAACATTGTTCGCTTAGTGATAATATTCCTGATCCAGTAATTACTTCTGTAATTGAATCTTTATTGTAACACGTTAAAACCAAATTTTGGTTTGTTACTGTGAAAATCCACGAATTTGATGACATAAGCTTATGAAAAATCCCATGTTTAAATGAAGTGTATTTTATTTTACAAAAATCTGTTAATTCTGTTATATCTGAATAAGAAATTAAATTTATTTCACACTCGTTTGATGTCACTACCCTTTTGGCTAAAAAGTTTTTACAAATTTTAAAACGGTTTGTATCAGTACACAAACTAACATCGTTTTCGCTTAAGTTAATAAAATATTCCTGATCAATAGTTATGGCTATAAACTTAAACCTAGGTTGTATGAACATAAATCTATTATTTTCTAAATATACTGGGTTTGGTAGAACATTATATAGTTTATACATGTTACTTAATACTAAGGGAATAGTATTGATGAATATAATTAAATCATCACTTTTAACGATTGTAGTTTGCATTATTCTATACAGTTCAGACATACCAGATACATCTAATTTTACAGGAATATTTAAGTCAGGTGAAAGATTCAATTTTATCAATTTAATTTCATCTAATAATTGATTTGATGATATTACTAAAGGGTGTAACTTCCCATACATAGCCGAATGTAAGATTTGAATAATTTTCCCTATTTCCAAAGCATATTGGTTATATATTAATTTTAGATTTAAAATTTGATTTTCCAATATAATTTTTATATTTTCATCACTAAACTCTTCTCTTTCTGATAAAATAAACCGGCGAATTTGTCTTATGTTATTTTGTATTTCCGTCGTTGCGTCTATAGTTGGTTTATTTATCATTATTGCATCATTAGTATTCGCAGGAGTAATTATTAATTTACTTTCTGCTAAATTTTGAAATTTCTGTCCACTTTTTATCATTGTTCTAATATTCGAGTATAATTTATAAACATCGTCCATTTTTATAGACCCGAACAGAGTATATATCATTTCTTTTATACTATTAGTTACATCACGTTTATGTTTTGAATGATCTTGTTCTTCAATTATTTGGACTAATTTGTTAGTCTCAAATTCAAATTCGTTCAAAACTTTTTCTGATGTATTCTTAAACAACGAACAAATTTCAGCTGTATAAAATTTCTTTTTTAAGCATAAGAAAGTGCATTCATTTGAAAAACTTTCGGTCGCTTTATTGCAAAGTTCTAGAGTTTCATTCTGGAAATGTTTGATTTGTAAATAATGTGCCTGATAAATGGATACATTTAAATATATTGCTATCTCCCAATTTGCAGCTGTAGTATGCATGTCGGAGATGTAATCGAAGTAGATTCCTGGTGATTCTTTTGCATACGAGATGTTGTACAAGGGTTCTGTTTTAATAAGAGATTCCATCATACATATTATTCTGAAACACCATTGTGTATTATTTGACTACAAGTTAATATGTGAAATATATTATTTATATTATATTATTATTATTATTATTATTAAATTTTTTTTTTTTTTTTACTTAAATTAATAATACGGAATATTATTACATTATCCTTTTTTTTTTTTTATGGAGAACACACTTTAAGTTCGTTTATGTGTATTTTCACTTCTTTTCGTTCTTTTTGTATTATGACATTTTCATTGTCTTCTAATTGAGTAACCAAATACGGTCCAAGCCATTTAGGACTTAATTTGCCTTTTGGTTGGTGATTTTTTATCCAAACTCGATCTCCTACATTGAAGTTAATTTCATGTCGATTTTGGTCATATGTTTCTTTGGATTTTTCTTTACTTAATAATATGTTTTCTCGAGCTTGTTTGTGTGACTCTTGAAGTTTTTGTTTCAACTCGAAGACATAATCATCGTAGTTGTATCTAGGTTGAGGAGTTCTACTTAATGTATGTGGTATTGAGGCAGGGAATCCATATATTAATTCGTATGGTTGGTGTTTGGTTGTTGTATGTATTGTCGTGTTGTATACAAACATTGCATACGGAACATAGTCATCCCAGTCATCAAGATGTTTATCGACATAATGTCGAAGATAAGCGGCTAACGTTTGATGTGACCTTTCAAGTCCACCATTAGATTGTGGATGGTATGGTGTCGTTTGCAGTTTATCTATCTGCAGTAACTTACAACAGGCAGCAAATATTTTACCCATAAATTCTGTACCACAATCTGTTAAGATTGACTCCGGTATTCCATGTTGGCATACAAAACCTTCAACGAATGCTCTCGATACCGATTTTGCGTCATGAGACACTAACGGATATGCAGCAGAAAACTTCGTTAAATCGTCTTGTAGTGTCAATATATAATTATTTCCCCTTTTTGACTTGGTAATTGGTCCAACAATATCTAAGAATATACGTTCAAATGGTTTGGAAGATGTAGTTGTTATAACCATGGGTTGTTTGACGGTTTTATTGAGGGTTTTATTTCTCTGGCATGATTGACATGACGATACAAAATTTTGTACATCTTTTTTCATTCCTTTCCATGTATGTTGTTGTTTTATTCTTTTGATTGTTCTGGAAATTCCTTGATGTCCTCCAAGTGGTGAATTGTGAAATTCTTCGATAATCTTATATTTATCTTCTTCTGTATAGGTGTCATCAATGAACACTAGTATTTTGATTTCAGAGCCTTTAAAATGGAATCGAATCATTGTGCGTATTTCAGACCAATCTAATTGATCTATTCCACAAGATTTTTTTGGTAATGCAAG